ATCCTACAAAATCTGAATCTGTGTATCCATTCACTTCAAGGTTTTTAGACCTTCTATAAGTAAGCATGTGACCTTTAGTTCCTTCCATTTCTTTTTGTGCCAATTCACTTTTAGGACATTGCATGAGACTAAAATTATCTCCTTTCTGAATTGGGACTGAAGATGATGAGCAGTTTTCCATTCTGAATCTCTCTAGAACTTTATTAATATATGCTTTCTGAGACAAACCTAACAGTCCTTGTGATCTATCACGTAATATTTCTATTCCTATCACATAAACTGCCTCACCCATATCTTTCATTTCAAAGTTATTAGAGAGAAACTTCTTTGTCTCAGTTAAAAGACCAAGATCGTTAGTTGCCAGCAAAATATCATCAACATACAGAATCAATAATATAAACTTGCTCCCACTGATCTTTAGATGTATACATCGATCAATGATGTTTTCTTTAAATCCAAAGGAAACAACAGTATCATTAAACTTAAAATACCATTGCCGTGAAGCTTGTTTAAGTCCGTATATTGACTTCTTAAGTTTGCACACCATGTGCTCTTTATCTTTTTCTATGAACCCCATTGGTTGGTCCATGTACACATCTTCATCTAAATTTCCATTTAGAAAGGCAGTTTTCACATCCATCTGGTGAAAAAGTTTTTTTTTTTTTTTTTTTTATAGTCAATGCCATCTTTCTGAGTGAATCCCTTTGCAACTAGTCTGGCCTTGTAACGTTCTAAGTTACCATGAGAGTCACGTTTGGTCTTAAAGACCCATTTACAACCAACTCTCTTGCACCCTCCTGGTAACTCAACAAGATCCCAGACCTTATTCTGTTCCATAGATTTCAACTCATCTTTCATAGCATCTAACCATTTATCACCATTTTCTCCATTCATGGCTTGTGAAAACGTTACTGGATCATCCTGAATACCCATGTCAAAATCAGACTCTTGTAGATATACCACATAATCATTAGAAATAGCAAGTCTCCTTTCTCTTTGAGATCTTCTTAATGCTATTTGTTGTGGTTCTTCTACTATGGGTTCATTCGGTTCATCAACAATGATTTCTTCATGAATAGTGGGATCATCAATTCGTCCTCCATTATTATTGATTGGTTCAATAGCATAAGGAACAATAACTTTACTAGAGCTACAAGGTAATGAAACTTGTACTCTCACTTCATGAATATCCACTTTACGTGGTGTTTCACTCCTACTAACTTCACCATTCTCAATGAACCTTGCATTTCCAGATTCATTAATCCTTGTAGTATGATAAGGACAGTAAAATCTATACCCTTTCGATTTTTCTGGATAACCAATGAAATAACCACTGATTGTCCTTGCATCCAGTTTCTTTTCTTGCGGATTGTAGTATCTAGTTTCTGCCTGACAACCCCAAACATGCAGGTGTCTTATACTAGGTTTCCTTCCAGTCCAAAGTTCAAAAGGAGTCTTTGGAACTGACTTACTGGGAACCCTATTCAGTAGGTACATGGCAGTTTTTAGAGCATAAGTCCACAATGAAACGGGTAAAGAAGAATTACTTAACATACTCCTAACCATATCCAGTAAGGTCCTATTACGCCTTTCTGATACACCATTCTGTTGCGGTGTACCGGGCATTGTGTATTGAGCACAAATACCACGCTTTTCCAGAAATTTAGCAAATGGGCCCGATGTTGTCCACTTTCATCATACCTTCCATAATATTCACCACCCCTATCAGACCTGACAATCTTCATCTTTCTGTCTAATTGCCTTTCAACTTCATTAATATAAATCTCCAAAGCATTTGCAGCTTGAGACTTATCATGCAGCAAATAGGCATAACCATAATGTGAATAATCATCAATGAAAGTGATAAAATATTTTTCTTTAGTAAAGGCATTAACATCAAACGGACCACATACATCAGTGTGTGTAATTTCAAGAAGTGAGTGCTCCTTGTGGCTCCTTTCTTTGTGTGTTTTGTTTGTTTTTCTTTAATACAATCCACACAAACATTTAAATCGGTAAAGTCTAAATCCGGAAGGATTTCATTATTTACCAATCTTTTCATCCTTTCTTTGGAAATGTGTCCCAAACGTTTGTGCCACAAGTAAGCGGAACACTCATTAATTAAGGCACATTTAGTACCAACATTATGATGCAGAGTCATAAGTGTTTCAGCATAAAGATTATCAAGACATAATTTATATAATCCATCACATAAAGTACCATTACCAATCAAATGATTGTACTTGTACAAACTGAAACTACCACTACCAAATTTAAAAGAGTATCCAGCAACATCAAGTTTGGAAATTGAAACTCAATTCCTAGATATACTAGGGACATACAAAGTTTCACATAAGTCCAAATGATATCCACTGTCGAGAATTAAACGATACGTCCCAACAGCTTCCACCGGAACTTTCACTCTATTGCCCATAAAGACAAACTTTTCATTTGGCCTTGTGGATTTTAGAAGAAGAGGCCCCATTCACTTTAAGGGGTCCTCCTCCTCCTCCTTTCTCATGCATCTTACCTTTATACTTTTCAGCTTCTTGATGCTTTACATAATTGACAGAATGATTTTAATAACATGCTCAATGATTTTAATTTTGCCGCAATGCTTGTCATTTCAATAACATGCTCATGCATAGTACGCGAACCATCAAACTTCATGGTGGTCAGTGTACTCATAAGTGTCCCAACAAGAGACTTATCAGCGGTTTGGGAGCGCTCTTCCACAAGTTTCATCATTTCGATGGTACTTTCAGTTTGTGGAAGAGCTGACTTAATGCTTTGAGTCATACATGTCACATACTGACATACTTCACAGATTCAACTATACTAACTTCAATGCATAGATTCAACTATACTAACTTCAATGCATATTAATGTTCACCTTTGGGGATCCATTAACATACAACATTAACTATAATGATGCTATATAAATTTCACATAATTTGGCAATGATGCATACCCCTATCATAATTATTTGTCATCTTTGGATGTCCAAATGTGAGGAAATATGCCAACAATACCAACATCCATGTTCATTTTATAAAACAAATAATCAACCTTTGGGTTGATCCCCAACTGTTCTATAATAATGAACTTCAATATACCATAACTATAATAATTATACCATACTATTCATAGCATCACAGTCATGGTAATTGAAATAAAATTCATAATATTTGAAATTAAAATAACTCTTCAAGGTTTGGCCACTTTGGTGACTAACAAATCTATCATAATTTAATTTCCAAAACTTTAATATTTCATGGTAATTGAAATAAAATTCATAATATTTGAAATTAAAATAACTCTTCAAGATTTGGCCACTTTGGTGACTAAAAAATCTACTATAATTTAATTCCAAAAATAAAATATTTCATAAATAATGATAGGATTAAATTTTCACATTCAATTTTAATCCAACCAATGTTTAACATAATCGCCACCGAAAAATAACCAGTTATATTACGGTGCAAGATGGAAAACCGAATGGCATTAAAAATAAAAATAACAATTCATACATACTGTGCGTATCATTCAATAATCCATTCTTTTCAACGTACAGGGACATCAATGGCTTTTATCTTTCAATTTTATTTCTTGAAAACCGTACGGTAGTTATCTTTCATTCAAATCAATTGAAAAAGCTTTGTCGTTTTTCAATAATCTATAAAAGATAGAAGTTCCAACTTCTTTCTCCATAACCGTGAATTTGACATTAATAAAGACAGAGAATTGAATTCAAAAACCATGAAGACTTAATCATGATGCACTGTGCATTTCGGTTTCATTAAAAATTGCATAATATGACATTTCATAAAAAAAATAAAATGAAAAACACACATTCACGGATAATCGGGAAGTACCTTTAAGCATGATGATCGTGAATCTTGTTTTCCTTTCAAAACTCTAACTTTTAATGAATTAGAAGATCATACATAATTGTATATGGAAAATCACAAACTCTTAAACACAAGCTTTGATACCACATGTAAGCATTTCAACAATGATTCATGATTCATGTTCATCAATTAACATTCTAAGAACATGACAGAGGATTTTTAGAATTCATGATTTTCACATAAGAGTGTACCTTTCTCCATTAGTGCGGAAGAACTTTGATGATGGAACGTCGTTTCTCAGAGTCTTTACCCTCTGCTTTTCTTGTATCGTCTATGACAGGGATCTGATACAACTTTTATGGGCAGACTATGAAGGAGAGAATTCTGAGAGATTATCATTGTCAGAAACTCACCACTTTTCACTTTATATAACTGAACCATGTCACCAGTTACAGAATTTCAATTAACTTCGTGTAACTTCCCATTAATGCGAAACGTCAAAACGTCAATTACTATAAATGCGAAACGTTGCCATAATGTAAAACGTCAAAACGTCAATTACCATTAATGCGAAACGTTGCCATAATGCAAAACGTCAAAACGTCAATTCCCATTAATACGAAATGTCAATTACCTTAAAGCCTCTTTTATTATTAATCAAACCAATTGACACACATCACACATGAGACACAAATAGTTTTACATTCTAAACTCTCGTGAGACTTTGTTATCCATATTTTAATTTTTTAAAATCTTTACATGATGTATAAGTTCACATAAATTTTTTAAAATAAAAATTTGCTATAACGTCAAGATATTCCCATTTAACCTCTTTCTGTCACATTGTCTTTGGAGTACGTCCACAGCGGGTGCATTGAGCTTCGCTACTGGAGGAAAGATGAGACTAATCTCTCATTCTAGGAAGAAGACACATCATCTGACCTCTCAAGATTTTTCAAGAATTTACTTGAGAGCTCAGTTGCCAACTGAGCTACCCTTGAAAGTTAAGTTCGCATAAAATTTAATTAGAAAGTGCGTCTTTTTGGTCAAATATTTCTATTTTTTATATCTTCTTTTAAGAAATCTGAACGCAAATAATTTCTTGTCAATTTATTCAATTTGGATGAAAATTTCAAAGCAAATCTTGCAAAAATTTATAAGAAATCATACCTTGTGAAGGCAAACATTTAAAATATGAATACGAAAGAGAAAAAGAAAAATCAAGACCTCTCTCATATGCGTTAAAAGAAACAACACATTACAACGACAGTACTTGTGGCGTAATTTATTGCCACTATAAGACGACCCTCTTCAGATCTGAGCTAAGCGGTTTATATCAATAGGGTAAGCATCTGATGCAGACTGGGCATTATAAGCTCTCCTACCAACAACAGTGTTGCCAGCCTCAGTTGGATGAAATGCATCCCAAAATAGGAACTCCCTTCTGTTCCTGCATGGGGTTTGCAGGGGCAGACATGTAATTTGACCATTGTTCCTTCCTACCCCACAACACCCTGCATTTGTAACTCTAAAACCTGAAAATTGAAGACCCACATGGGAACAAAATGAGAATGAACTATGTCCAAAGTTTGATTCTCAAGTAAAAAGACAAATTATGACTAGAAAAATGTTTTAGGCAGCAAAGTAATTACCATAGGATGAAGGGCTGTTTATGATATCTTGAAAGATACCATAAGAGTTTATGTATATGAATCTTGCAGCCGGTAGCTGGTTGTTGAGTTGATCAACAAGTGATTTCAATCCGTTGTTGAATAATTGGTTTGCAGAATTGATTCTTGCCACACATGTTCTACCATCTGGGCTTTGGGACAATGCATTAGGGCTGCAACCTATTTGACCAACCCCAAATAACACCATTTTTCTTGCCCCATAGTTATACATAATCTGAATCACAAACACAAAACAATTATGCTTTTAATTTGTGAAAGCTTATCTGAGCTTCTAACCAGCTAAACTTCAAACCATAATATTTTGATTTATTTATTATTGTTACTACTATTAGTACAATCATTTTTCAACTTTGTAACAAAAAATGGCTAGTTGAAGCACTGGATACTATGAAAGTTAATTGAACATGGTCTAAGTGAAATAGAAAAAACAGAGAGAACAACTAACCCTGAGTTGTTGAGCATAGGCTTGGATAAGAACATCAGCATACTGCTGTGGTGTAAACTGCCTGCTGCTAGAATAGACTTGAGGCATGAAATAATTGTTAAGGTAATCATTGCTACCCAATCCAATTGAATAAATGCACTTGCTCAGATAATCTGCAGCTGTGTTCTCATCTCCCAGTAAATTTACCACCTGGGATACTGTCCTTTGGTAATTTTGCACTTGCCCTCTAAAACTAATACGCGCCCCCTACAAAGTAAAAAACACAAATGAACAATTTTAGAAAATACAAATGTGGTTACCAAATGAAGAAAAAAGAAATTATGTGCCACAGAAGCAAAAAGTATATATAAAGGTACCAGTTGCTGTCCAGTTTCCTCTCTGATTCCAGCAGCTGCAGATGCATAATTGACTCCTCTGAGTATATCTCGGCCCCTAGCTGTTGCATAGGGAGATATGTAACCATTGAACCCCAAAAGCTCAGCTGTTTTATTTCAACAGAAAGTTAGACAAGAGTGAAAGATTTCATGTACTTACATGAATATAGAACTAATGAAGAATCAATTTTATCAACCAGATTAGCTCCTACTTTTTCTCTCACTGTTTCATTTTACTAAATCAGCATTTCTGGTTAATAAATATCTGGATCGGTAAATTTTTCTTGCTGGTGCTCTATCTTTCTTTACTTGCTTTTCTACCACATATCTCTTACTCAAAGGACTACGTACCAGAACCAGACTGTCTTAAATTGCAAACTCAATGCCGCCAAACAAACCCACGTGCTTGGAATTTTAAGGGGTAGGAACATACCTAAAGTGGAGTAACTCAATAGAGTAGTATCAAATGCAGGGTTCTAGTTTTTATTCTGTTCACAGACATCTGCATGTTACTTTTTATTTATTTTCATTGATGACTGATAAGAAAACTCGTGCTTCTTAAAGCCTTGCCTTAAGCAAAATATGTTGTGGTAGGAATTTCTTTTGTATGAATTTAGCATCATAACTGTCATCCAATAGGCTATTAGACAATATCTAATGGATTACACAGTAGAAAAATAATAAACATGCTAAGTAATTTAATGTATGCCAAATAATTAGTAGACCCAAAATCTTAAAACAGATAAAGGCTGAGGATTGGATTTTATGACTATATTTATATCATTATCACCCTATGATTATGATAATGATAATGATGAATTGATGATTACAGGAGCATACATGTGAAACTAGTTTAAGACCATATATGTAGGTAGAACCATGTGATTATGTTAACAGTATATATAATTGACTTATATTATGCTCTAGTGTCATGCAATTTTGATTAGAAACAAACTCACCAATTACATCAACAGTAGTTTTCCCATTGGAAAACCTTCCAGTTGGCCCCCCAGGAAAGTCAATCCCATAAGGCAGGTAGTTAGCTTTGGCCAAAGATGAGAGCTGATTGTTGTTCCCATTATCTACCAAAGAGTCCCCAAAAATAAAGTAGCAGGGTACTTGTTGTGCAGCTCCAACCCCACTCCACAAACCCAGAAACACCACCAATGCCCTTATATTCATAATCCACTTCATAATGTGCTCCCTTGATGCCATTGAAGTAACAAATGGTGGCAAGTGTTGGAATGAGTGAAGTGGATGTGGAACTTCTGAAATAAGCAAAACTATATATAGTAGTAGAAGGAAGAGAGTAGGTCTTGCCATATAGCTTTTACAGTTGGGAGTGTTTGTTAGGAGCATTAATTTCACGCGGAGATAATGTGAAAATGAATGACAATGCCGGCGTTACAAGTGTACCACTACCACCCCTTCTTTCTAGTCTCTTTAATGTGGTCGATGAATTGCATTTTCCAGTTATGGGAATTCAGCCATTCCAACTTATCCATCAAATTTTTTGCAAAATTAATGGTTTTACCAAAAGGGAAAAAGGTGCTACATGGCTTTTTCGTGATATTTTCATAGCAATATATCCTAGTAACCAAGCCATGTTAAAATAGAGAAGTTCATAGTGGTTTGTGCACATCAAAGTATCGCCACTTGTCATTTTGCTAATTTTAACTTAAGCAGAATAGAGGTGTTCGTAATTGCTCGTGAACATCACACACCATCGCCATCATATTAATTGAGCTCGCAGTGGCTGTGGAATTATTGATGAAAATTCCTGTAAAGTAACCACGCAGTTATTTAAGTAGTTTCTTATCTACAGTTACAATTGTGCCTTGAAACACTTGGGGTGTACGTGCATATGACAACCTAAATTATGAACCCCTTGCTAAAATCAATTTGATATAATGATACATCGGAATTTAAAAAACTTAAAAAATATTAAGATTTGAAGTTTTACACTTCCATGAGCTATTAACAAGTTAAGAATTAAAATACAAATTTTTTTGTTAAATATTTATTTAATAGAGTATATTTGTCTCTCTTACATGTCACTATGTCCTGGTCTCCTCCATTGTAGATTTCCCATGATTTCTTTACATCACTCTCGTCATAGACACATAAAGTTGTAATATTTGATCCCAACAAATCAAAAAAACACATCTACACAAGCACCCAATTATCAAAATCACATCACAGCTTATTACAAAAAAAAAAAAAAAAAATCACATCACAGCTAACTTAATTAAGAAATGTGCAATATGCACTTTTGCTACTCTGTTATCATTTGCTTTTGTTTTCATTGATCCCGTCAACTGCGCAACTGAACCCTACCATTAGCTCAATCAGAAGTAAAAGCGTTATGGACATCATATCTAGTCAAGTTATGAATGTGATCAATGTTCTGTAGTAAGATCCACATGCAAGTTGTTATCAAGACTGAGTCTAGCCAACTTTGTTCAAACTTTTGAGACATGAAAATCACCACGCACCACAGCCCTTGGTCCATGCTCCAAAATATATAAATGAAACCTTCTTTTCTAGCGCAACCTAGAAAGTGAAATGAATCCAATCGAGGACAACCTCATCCCACTCAATAATGAATTTTGTTTGATTTTATGTTATTTTAAAAAAAAAACGAAGAATATATTAATTATTTTTCTAAAATTTAAATTTATTTTTGGTTTCATTTATTAAATAAAATAAGATAACAAATTAATAAAGAGAATAATATATTTAAAGATTTTAATAGAGAATAATTTGAGTAAATATGTAAGATGTTGAGGTTTCATTAATGAGTGTACTATGAAGACATTATTTAAAGAATTATTATTATCTTTTATTATATGATTCTAATTATTTAAAAAAGTAATTAAATGTTGAATTTTGATGAATTTATTAATGAATGTCTTCGGATATTGATTAAGAAAATTAAAATACAAAGTTTTAAATGAGAAGGAAAACATTTATTATGTTAGGATTACCATAAAAAAATACTTTATACTTATATCTTTTTATAATTACAACTATTTAATAGAGAATATTAAGATTTTTTTTGCAGAACACTTAAAAAATTCAAATTCAAACAAAAAAAAGTGACTAGAAAATAATATATATTCATGGAAAACCGTGCCACGCGTATCTAAAAGGATAGTATCTAAATTATTTCCTGAAAAAAGAAAAGGACTGGAGAGTAATCCATGCCATAATACGTTCTATTGAAGGCTTGGGATTTGTCAACTAATCATAAATGCTAGTGGGTAGTAAAATTTAATGATTTTGGCTGTCATACTAATACATGATTGTGCATTTAAAGCAAAATGTCGACCATCTTCGTTCCTCACTCTTTACTTTAGCCAAGTTAGCTAACCACTACGTGCAGCTCAGAGCAAGTTGGCGTTGACGTTTGCGTCGGTGTTATACATTGTGGATTGTATTGTACTAGAACTAACTCCGAAGCCCATGAACCAGGTCAACATAAAATGGTCTGACGAAGAATCGTTTGAACCTTTTTTTTTTATCATTGAGTAAGAAAATTAGTTTAAAAAAATAGCAATAACTTTTGTACAAAAAAAAATGTTGAACAACAGATTAATGCACCAAAGTTAAATAGGCCAAACTCGTAAATCCGTTTTTTTTTTTTTTTTGTACTAAATAAATCCGCTTTCAAATAAGGCTGCAAAATGTCCAATACATGTTAAAGTAATGGCTGGCCGACAAACAGCTTGAATTTGATCATCACCCAGGGCATGTTGATAATTGTGTACGTGAAACGTGTTGCGTCCTTTCTTTCAAGTTTCAACCATTCCAGGCTGTTACCATAGCCAAATGACAAGAACTTCCTAGTCTTCTCGTCTTAAAATCAGACATTAACTTCCATTGACTTTTCCCCCTCGCAAATTCTGTGTTTTTGCCTCAATCTCAATAATGGATTGCAATTTTCCGCACAATTCCAAATTCATAAAAGCAACGTGAAATATTAGATTTACAAACTTTTTATTTATAAACTCTAACTATATATTCTCCGTAATATATACATAGTTGCTTTTGTAAATTAAAATGTTTATAGATATAACTCTTCTCAAAAACAAATATCACAGCACAGCTGTTTGTTTCGTCTCTAGCTATGGGGAAGCAAAATTATCCGGTTGCCTCTTTGGTGGTGTAGGGTGAACTTGGGTTTATTTGGTCACGTCTGAGTAAAAGTCTTAAATGTAGATGGCTGGGTGAGAGGTGGATACTTAGCTAGATGTATAGGCAGAACTATCGGTACACATTGCTCTGTTCAAACTTCATTGTTGCAATTGCCTTTGTTCATATCCAATATACCAAGGCTGGATGGAGTTACGTGACTGCATGCCGAGTCAGTGAATGAAACAGACACCAAAAAGAGCAGAGTCAACGGAAGAATTAATGGCAACAGCTACGGACTTCTTAGAGAATAATATAAATCATTAAAAAAAAATTTATCTAACGTCTTAAAGTTTTGGATTGAGGTGGTTCTTTACATGATATCAAAACTTCAGTGACCACAAGGTCATGAGTTCAATCCTCACTGCCTCTCACTTTCTAGTGGAATTAAATAAAGATAAACTTACGCTTTAAGTCCAAATGGCTCTTACGTGAGGGAGTATGTTAAAGAATAATACAAACCATTAGAAACATCCTCACCCAACACCTTAAATTTTTTGAATTGAAGTGATTCTTTATAGGGTCTAAGTAGGGTAAGCGACTTATCAGCGACCTATTTGACTTACATCAAGTGCATATCTTTCATACTAAAAAAATATATATTCAAGTGATTAAAATTAATCTAGTGGTGAGAAATTTGAATAATTTGTACGAGAAGATCATAAGTTCAAATTTCAGTATCACCATTGACAATGTGTGTGTGTGTGTATATATATATATATATATATTCCTTTATTAAAAATATAAAAGGTAGGATTTATGTGAAAATACTTATAAAATGGTGGATAAAATGGTAAAAGCTAATTTTATTTTATTTTTTCAAATTTAGTGTAAGATATATGGGATTAATATTTGTCCTTATAAAGGATATATAATTGTGTCATCATAGTCAAAATTACAATGTTTTATAATGAGAGAAACATTTACACAATACAAATCATAGTGGAAAAAGTAAAATATATTTTAATTTAAATATTAGATTAAAAATAGTCATTTTGATTAAAATAACTGTCTCTTAAAAGAACAAATATTTTTTCCAAGAAGTCTTCAATACTGTTTGACTACTGAAGGTATTTCCAATTTAGGTCTAGCTTAATATATTTAGTGAAATAAAACAAACTCAAGCCTTGAGTAAAATTTGTTTAGAAGATTACCAAAAAAAAAAAAATTGTTTAGAAAATATGTTGTAGGTCTTCTTTGACAAAGTCTAATCTCTGATCTTTACACTTACAAGTCGGCCTATGAAATATTATTTAGTTTAATAAAAAAAATATTTAAATCGTAAAATAATATTATTTTAATTATTTTATCTAATTCTTAATAAATCTTTGAAAGTCTAATATGCTAACAAGTTTAGGCTTGATATTTTACTTTTATCAACTTAGCTTCCTTTGTGTTGAAAGGTTCAAGCTTGTTGATCCATTTTCGTGCACCTTGTTGAGTCAGTCTTGAGGGGCTGATTGTGAGCTCCAAAGAGCAGCCTCTTCTTCTGTTTTGGCCTTTGGTATGTATACCAACCTTTAATCATGAGTTTAATGCTTAAAAATGAAAGCTTGATGCATGTTAAGGTTAAAAGATGATAACTTGTTGTTGGGTGAGGCTTATCACATCTAGAAATGCATGATTAGGTGTTTAAAATCGGTTAAAAGGGAACCTTTTTGGGATATCTTCACGAAAATGCAGAAACTGCATTCTGTCGTGAGATATCCGGATATTTGTCGAACTGATATCCGGATATTGGATATCCGGATACGTGGTTTTGGGATATCCGGATATTAGATATCCGGATATGTGAATCTGTATATCCGGATATTGCATATCCGGATATGGACAGCGAGATATCCGGATATTCTGGGATTTCGCAGAACAGCAGCTGTGTTGTGTGTACAGTAGGCTATTGGGGGTTTATGGACCCTAGTTTGATGAAGTTGAACTTCTGTATTTAATGGATTAAGCCAGAATCATGGGATTAAGGGCTTGTGGCTTTGTTAGAAGCTTTAAGACTTGAAAACGTAATGAAAATGCGTTGTC